CTCCCCAGGCTCCGGGGCGTCCTGGGACCCCAGATCCCAGCCCCGGCCCTCCGACCCCGGCCCGCCGCCATCTCAGGCCCCACGACATCGGGACGCAGGGGCCGGGAGCCCTGGGCCCACGGCCAGGCCCGTGCCCGCCACGCCCGGGATCTGGGGCCGCCCAGGGCCCCCCGGGACCCCCACGCCCCCGCTCCCCTCCCCCACGCCCGTCCGCTCACCTGCGAGCCCCACCGCGGCCGCGCGAGACCCGGCTGGCCCCGCCCCTTCCGGCTTCCATTGGCTGCTGGAGCCGCCTCTCAGGCGGCCGCTTTGTCGCCCGGGCAACGGGGCCCGCTTCCGCCCGGACGCCGAGGCTCCCGCGCCAGAGACTGGGAGGCATTTCTCAACCCCGAGCCGACAAGAAAAGGGGGCGTTCGGGGGGGGGGGGCGGTCCGGCCCTCGTGCGGCGCTCGTGCCCTCCGTCATAAAACTCGGGGTTCAGAGAGGGGCTAAGATGGCCCCGTCGCGCCGTTTTAAAGAGAAAACGCTTTAGAAACAATAAGCCGAGTACAACAATAACAACAAAAACAGACGGAAGGGCGTTGTCCTCGCGCACAACCTAGACGTGCCGTTGAGGGAGAGGCAGCGTTTGGGCCGTTTTCCCGACTCGCTCGTGGGCCGCCCTCCCCGTGACCGCGCTCCCGCCTGTCACCATCTTCGGGTGTCCGGGTTGCAGGGACTTTTCCTGGCGTTACGAGCAGACCCCTGGCTACCCCGAGAGCCGCCCCACCAAGACGAGGCAGCGCGATCGAAACGGCCCCCGTGCGTCACGCGGACGGTCCGAGGTCGCTCACAAAGAACCGGTGTTTGCAGGCGGAGGGAGAGAGGACGGGACGGAGGGGGACGCAGGCTGGACCCACACTTTTGTGTGTCGTGTCACGAGTGGCCTCTTGCAGCCCGCGGGTCGCCTTGTATTTGGTACGCGGAGGGGGATGTCGTTAGCTTCCACATGAAATCGAAGAAGAAAGGCAAATATTCCTTTAAAAAACCAAAATCCTCTAAGATGGCTCTGAAGAAGGCAAACGTCAAGTTGGGAAGTGGGTCCCCGTCGTTGTCACGAGCAGCCCACGCTGCCCCCTGGTGGCCGAGCGAGACGCGGCTGGCGCGCGTGGAGCCCAGGCTCCTGTCAGTCACAGAAGCCGACGGCAAACTCAGGTCTCCTCCCAGGCTTGCGGTTAGACCAAAATAAATTCTGTACGAGTCAGTGCTTTGGGGCGTCTTCTAGTAGAAGTCGTTGTCTTGTAATTTCACACCAGGCCTCGTCCCAAGTCCGGTATTTCAGAGTGTTGATTGAACTCATGAGTCAGGCGCTGGGTTCCAGGACAAGAAACACAGACCAGGTCACATCCCTGCACCCGCAGGGGTGGGGCTGGGAAGTGTTGGGGTAGCTGGTCTGCATGACAGCGCCTTACACCTGGCTGAAGAAAAGTGTACCTCGAACCAGAGCACGTTGATGGAAACCTTCTGGTTAAGCAACACACATTTAAGAAAATCAGAAAACTGCCCCTCAACATATGCGTACGCTTTCGTCTACATTTAGACATGGAGAGAGTCCAAAAATGGGGTCACCCTGTATTCCCAGTCACTTTTCATCTCATAGGAATCCTTATCCCTGCCCTTGAATATTTTCGAGGCGACGATTCTCATGGCTGCACAGTATCCCTTATCGTACGTGGTGCCATAGCTGACCCGCCTCTGGGGTGCCTGCTACGGGCTTCGTCAACCGTATCTTGTGTATCTCTGAAAGTGGAGTTCAACCGCTGTGAGCTCCAGGCAGCTCCCAAATCTAGAATCACTTGCTGAAACGCCAGAGCGCTCTCACTGTATCCTTTTCTCTTAGGATGCTGGGCACCTCATACCGTATCTCATCTCCTTCTTTAGATCAGAAGCCTCTCCCAGGCCGGGCGCTGCTCCGTCATATCTCCATGTAGCTCTTAGCACCGTGCTTGGCATATGGCGAAAACTCAGAAAAGATTTGAGGAACACAGGAATTCTCAATGAGTTACTCATTGCGTCAGAGAACTTTAATTGTCCATCAAAATCCACTCTCCCCTCTTGGGGCACAGAGTTGGGTGGCATTTCCCAGCCTCCCTGCGGCCATATGACCTTGTTGTTGCCAGTGGCAGAGGACAGGGACTGATGTGTGCCATTGCAGACCTGGTGGGTACAGCGCCCCCCTCCCCCCGGCCACGTGCATTTCTCTATGTTCTGTCCCCTCAGGCTGATGGGAGCAGATCGGGGTGATGCCCCAGGGGAAAGCAGGCACATGATGGAAGAACTCTGGGTTCCTGAATAGCCGTGAGGAGGAGTTTGTCCTCTCCAATCTGAACAGCCACCCAGCATTGTGATGTGGAAAAATATACAGTGACATGCAACGGAAATTTGGGGGCTTATTCGGTAACTCAGCATAACTTAATATGCCCACGAAAAGGTTTCAATCACGGGATCAACTTAAATAGTTACCAACCTAGTCACTTAAAAGGACCCGTCAATTTGGCTTTAACAACTGAGCCGGCCAGTGGCACGGGTCTTCCTCTCGTCTGCTCACACAGCACCTGGGCCCTGAGAACGGACATTGTGCCCGTGCTGGGAAAACCATCGAGGCCCCTGCCCTCTAGGGGCTCACAGTCTGGAGGGGAAGGTGGACAAAACCACAAAAACAAAAACATGTGAGAGGAAAGAGCCAAGCTAAGTGGAAACACAGCAGGTGTTACGAGGAGGGCTGGAGGCTGCTGGGTGAGAGGCTGAAAAGGCCACACGGAGGTGACATTGATATTTCCAGCAGCATGACCAGAAGCGCCAGCCCTGCACGAACTCAGGTATATTTAGCCTGGCACAAGGCGAGGCTGTGCAGACACTTGGAGGCAGAAGGGGTCTGGACAGAGAGGAGGTTAGAAAGGAGGTTGGTGTGGCTGGAGGGAGCTTGGGAGGGGACAAGGCCAGGGCCTGTCGCTGTGCGACAGCACTACCCCCCACTTCGTGGCTTCCCCGACAAACACTTGTCACCTGGCACTTTCTGTGGATGAGGACTGCAGCATGGCTCGGTGTGAGCCTCAGCCAGTGTGTCTCAGGGCACTGGGGCTGCGGTGTCAGCCGCAGCAGGACCTGTCTCACTCAGGATCTGAGCCCACCGGGGGCCTTGGCAGGATTCAGTGTGGGGTGAAGGCCTGACTTCCTCCCTGTCTATTGGCCTCGCTCAGTGCTAGGCCAGGGGGCCTCTTCACGTAGCAACTCACAGCACAGAGGCTGTTTCCCAGAGTGAGAGATGAGAGAGAGACAGAGGGAGACAGAGGGAGAGATGGAGAGAGAACGCAAGTCAGTGAGCGAGTGGGTAGGCCCTGACTTTTCACAACCAAACCTGGGAAGTGGCCTTGGAGCCCTTGCCACTCTCACGGAGTCACTCATGCAGACCACACGTAAGGGGCGGGGATCACACGAGGATGTGCCCGCCAGGAGGTGGGCATCGTGGGGAGACAGTGAGGGGGACGTGGAAGGGCCCGCGAGGTTCATGCCTTGCTCCGAATCACAGCCTAGTCAGAATGCAGCCAGTCTGCACCCAGCTCAGTGTCCTCAAAGTTGGGGTCCTGGCTGCACCCAGGCTTTCACACACACACACACACACCTGCTAGATGTAAGGACTGTGGGCGGGGACAGACACAGAGGAGGTGACGAGAGGGAGAAGAAGTTGGAGGTGCCACGTACACGTGACAGCACGGCCCTAGGGGTACATGCGAGAATAACCCCACTATGCAGGCAGGAGACAGACAGGCGCTGAGAGGCACAATGGCTTATCCAGGGTGAAGAAGAGGTGAGAAAGAGGAGTTAGTCTGAACCCAGGTCCGTGTCCTCAAACCTGGGACCCTGGCTGCACCCAGACCTCCCCAGGGAGAGCTGTGCAGAGGGGTGCGTTGGGGTCACTGTGTACAGATGGGGTATTACGTGGAGAAGGGGGTTGAGAGTTCAGCAGCCCAGGGGGCTACCTGGTTAGCTGTTCCTTGAGGAGGGGGCTTGGGGACGAGAGCCCAGGAAGTGATGTCACTTCCTTGACCACGGACCCCAACAGAACTTGGAACCCCCGTATCCAGGCACCCACCTAGTGATAGCCCCGTAGGTAGCTCACTTGGCAAGAGACGCTTGAAGGTACAAGATGTTCTCGTGCTGTGTCCCAGCTAACCGGGGCCCTTGCTGCCGGAAAGCCCGCCGTGAGAGCCTTCCCAGGCGCCTGTTCCGCTCTCACCTCCTCCGATGCCTCTGGCCATTTAACAGGAGGTCCCCTAGAGAAACACAGGGCGACCTCGGTCAGGCCAGCCCAGGCCAGGCCACCTCGGTGAGCCACCCCTGGGCAGCCCCCACGCCGCGTACCCTCAGGCGGGGGGAAGAGGGCCAGGAAAGGGAGGCGCCTGGCAAGCAGCAGGCTGCTGGGCGGTGGGGAGCCTGGCGGCCCTGTCGCCATCACACCCCAGGACAGGCCTGGCAGGGTGGAGAGGGACTTCCTGCGGGGACTCCTCTCTGCCAGCGGGAACTCGGGGCCCTCCGGCGGTCATGTTTTCCACCCCCTGTGGAGGTCTGTGTGTGTCTGGGGTGGAAAGAGTCACAGGGTCTGAGGACCAGCAAAGACACAGGGCTTGAGGTGGCCGGACACTGTCTCTACAGAGCTCCACGCAGGAGACTGGACAGGAGCTGACCGATGGGGTCCTCGGCTCCATCCCCCCGAAGGATAGGCAGGTGCCCCCCACCACCAAGAGACTGGCACAGGCTTGGGGTGAGTGCAGGTGCTGAGTACACCCAACATCCGGGACCCCATATGCTCCAAGGGGGCCCTGGGCTCCCTCCCAGAGCCCTGCTCCCCAAGGAACCTGGGTCCCCATCTCCTCCCCAGCCCACCCTCACTGCCCAGCCCCTTCCTGGGCCAGAGGCGAAGTCACCGCCCGCATATCCCAGAAGAGACTTTTCTATCTCATTTCAGTCAAGAGTGTGCATTTCCGTACAGATTTTGCTGTTCTAACGCCTGTCCCCAGGCGTCCACGTTGGCCTGGCTACCCTTGCCCACCCCTCACCGTGATTAGCAGGGGTGCTTTTCCCCCAAAAGGACCATGTCTACAGCTCTGCCATGTGCTGTGACCCTCCAGGCCAGGAGCTGGGCCTCCCCAGGTGGCACACCATACCAGGAAGGGGACCGGTTACCATGGCGAGCCAGCCGTTCACTGCTACGGAACCTTGACATAACCCCCTGCTGTCGCCATTGCAACAGTGCAGCCCCAAACACCCCACAGTCCTCACGTCCCGGCCCCTCCCACCCCAGCAAGAGCCTCTGTGTTCTCATCTCAGAATGGGCTGTTTTGACAGAAATTACAGGGATGGCACGGTTAATGCAGGGAGGTGCCATCCATCCTCAGCCAAGGCCATGGCCGACGCCGCCGGACGTGAAGCCGTTCCACCTCGGAGTTTCCTTAATGCCAGGAGCTTTTCTCTCCTGCCAGCGCTCGTGTTCCGCCTCCTGCTGCCAGTCACTGAGGGGGCTGAGGGGTTTGGTCTGCAGTCCAGCCCTCACCCTCCTGGGGGTCCATGGTGCTGCCTCTGACTGCATGTCCCTCCTCTGTCCCCGCCTTTCCCAGGGGAAAACGCATCAGGCACGAGCAAACACAAGCCCTGCATGATGTGGACCGCCCGGGCACACCGGCTGGACAGGCTGGTGGAGCAGCTGGTGCCTGCCTTCCTGGGCGGGGACCCCACCTTCGTCCCCACCTTTCTGGGAAGTTATAGAACCTTTGCCACCACCCAACAGGTGCTGGACACTCTATTTACAAGGTGAGCACCCCGCCCCGCCGGCACAGTGGTCATTCGGCCACCTGCTAGCTGTGAGATTTCGGAAGTCTGTTTGCTCCTCTGCACAGCGGGGTGGACAGAGGACCAATGCCATGGGGTTATTGCAGGGCCTCAGTGGGGCCTGGAGGGTGCTCCCTGCATGTCTGCCCTGTGGAGAGGTCAGCTGGAGGGGCTGTGGCTGAGATAATTGGCCATTTTTTCTTCCTCTTCCTCACGGTCCCTGGGGCCTTGGGCTGGGCTGACTTCTCAATTGAAAAGGAGATTGGAGGCTCCATGGGGTCTCTGTCCTGGGAGCCAGAACAGAAATCACAGATCCCAGGGGTGAGCAGGGAGGCCCCAGGCTCCCCCAGGTATCTGCAATGGGGCTGGTTGGGGCTCATGCATTCAGCAAATGTATCGGAGCCCCACTAGGTGCAGGCACGTTTCCAGACAGGCACTTACTGGGGTCCAGGGCCCAGAGCAGACGGCAGCCCTGCCCTCCAGAGCGGGCTTCTAGGCCGGTGACACAGTCGCCCTAAGCTGCACAGGCAGGCGGCGTCCACAGGGCGGTCCATGTGGCGTCTTCCTGGCCCCCTGTAGGTACGGCTGCTGCCTCCCACATTCAGAAGAGGACGGTGGGCCGCTGGACCAGATGAAAATGTGAGTGGGCTTTGGATCTGAACCACGAGGAGTGTGGGGACTGTGAATTGGGGGTGCTGGCAGAACCCTGCATCCCGCACGTCCAGGGGGTTCTGCAAGAGGGAGAGGTCCGAGGACTTCTCCTAGAAAAGAGGAAATCAGTCAAAGAGAGCTTGTGGCTGTGGCCTCAGGCGCCGTGGGGGAGCACTGGGGTGGCCCGTGGACAGAGTCAGCCCCTAAGAAAGCCCGTCCCTGTTCCGTCCCAGGCCCATCCTGGGACCCAGAACGGGGGGTGTGGGGAGCGTCCTGCTCACTAAGCTGGTAGAATCTCAACATCAGGCGCTTGGCTGGTGCCCCCCCCCCACCGTGGGAGATGAGTATCAGTGGCAGAAGAGGACCCACAGGGTCCCTAGTAAACCAGGCAGCAGGTGGGGGCTAGGATGGCCTGGGAGCGGGGCAGGAGGCAGTCTGTTTGTTGTCCCATCGGTCAGATATTCATGGAACACCTACTGTGTGCCAATGAGTGCAATTAACAGAGCAGACACCACCCCTCCCTGCCCTCTGGAGCTGACATTCCCGTGGCAAGGGGACAGGGACGCTGACGGGGTGCCAGGCTTCCCTGAAGGAGGGGACAGGTGGTCACACCATTGATCAAGAGCTCTCAGTTACGTGGGCTTGGTGCCAGTCCCTCCTGAGTGACCAAGCGTGTCTCTGTCAGGACTGCCAGGCTGACGGTGCAGAGGGGCAGGAGGGGCTCGTGGGTGGACGGAGGCGGGAGGCACAGGGCCGCAGAGCCCACACGGCGGTCCGGGGAAAGGCCAGGCCTCAGGCCCCGCTGCCCACCTGTCTCTCCCTAGGGCCCTGTCGTCCATCCTGGCCATCTGGCTGAACTGGTACCCTGAGGACTTTTTCTAGCCCCCAGGGTTTCCCTGCCTGAAGATGCTTGTGGCCTACTTAGGGCTCAACTTCCCGGGCTCAGACCTGGAGTACCAGGCCCAACTGCTCCTCTCAGAGCTGGAGCACATTAAACCCGCCCAGGAGGACACAGAGGGTGAAGCAGTCCTGGAGGGGTGACATGGGCGTGAGGGGAGGCTCTGGGCGGGGCCACAGCGACAAGAGCTCCCAGAGGCTGGGGCTTGGCTGGGACTGCAACCCGGGCAGGCTTCCTGGAGGCGGTGCTGCAGCCATGCTGATCGTCTGTAGTCTTCTCGGGTCCACAGAGCCAGTGCCAACTTCCACTCCCATGCCCCCCGCAGAGCTGGGGCAGGCTGAGGGCACAGCCTTCCCGGGGGCATCTGCGTCGCCTCGGCGGCTCACCTCGGCCCCTGTGATGGCTCGAGTGTGTGCAGTCACACCAGACAGCTCTTTCTCCTCCTCTCCAATGGCATTTTGAAAAGTCTTTGTGTTTACCTGACAATCAACTTCAAGTTTTACGGTGTTTTTCTCATCATATTCAGTTAAGATAGAATTTATTTTTAATAAAATTTAACGTTACAATAAAATGTAATTTAAATAAAATTAACCCTGTGACCCTTCCAAGTGTACATTCTAGCGGCAGTTGAGCACATTCGCCGTCTCTTGCAGCCGCCACGTCATATCACGGCCACGCTATAGTTCTGGAACGTTCTCATCAAAGACAAACCCCGTACCTAGTAGCCAGCCCGTCCTCCCCCCGAGCCCCTGATGGGCACCAATCTCTCTGTCTCCAGGTGCTTATCTCGTCTGGATTTTTCATATAAGTGGAATCCTGCCTTATGTAGCCTTTTGTGTCTGACAACCTAGTAGATGAGGAGGCTGACTGTTTTTTGATTTTAATAAAAATAACACTTTTTTATTGAGAAGAAAAATCCCTAGGAGGCAAAGATTCTGTGTAAGAAAGGAAGCCCCAACATTAAACATTTTTCAGTGCCTTGGGATGGGGACCACTTCTGTGATGACGACACGAGCGGCAGGAACCATAAAGGTTTTCTTAAGGAAGGGCTCAAGTCTCCAAGCACAAACCCACGTAAAGCGGGGTGCAGTCACCTTTCCATTGGGAAGTGACAAAAGGCCGAGACAGGTGCTTTGGGTCCCCCTGGGGCAGACGCACAGTAAGGGTCACCGCTGTGGGGTGTCTGATCACGTGATGAAAGCAAACACCAGTTAAGCCTCCATAACTAGGAAATGGGCTAACTTGCGACACTGAGGTATTTAGAAGGAAAAGCTCATCTCAGCTCCCAAGCAGCTTGGGGAGAGGGAGACGCATGGAGCCACCACTGGCAGGAGCACCCAGGAACCACTGCAGGGGTCTGAGACGCGGCTCTGACCACATCACGCCCCGGGCCGAATCCCTCAGTGGTGCCCCATGTCCCTGGAATTCTTCCAACCGGCACTCCGGGCCCCTGCCTGCCTCTCCATTGTCACCCCACGTGTCCTGTTCAATCTGCTTAGCCAGCCTGGACCCCTTGCTCTTCAGGGATCTGAGTTACCGGAACTGGGGCTGCCCTGCAACGCTCTCATCTTAGCCACTCCCGGCCTGGTTGTCCCCACAGCACTCTCTCGTCCAGTGTGCTGGCCTCGGGGTGCATCTGAGCTCCACTTAACATCCGTGTGAGCCGGCCACGTGCTCGGCAACTCAGCAACTCTGTGCCTCCGTGGCCTTGGACTAGACGACGGTGAAGAGGCCCTGAGCCTTGAGCCGCAAGCTGAAGGAATGGGAAGGCCGGTGTGTGACGCACAGGTGGGAAGGAACCTGTGTGCTCGTGGTCTCAGCCACCCAGTGGAGCCGAGTCCTTGCTTTGCAGGGGAGGGCGCTGGTGCACAAGCGGGTTTGTGGAGGTCTGACAGCAGCACAGGGCACAGCGGATGGGGGACGCCCTGCTGCCTGGTGGACGGGGACCGCGAGGATGGGAGCTGCCTGGGGGTTTGCTGACAGGTAAACCAAATAATGCACAGAACAGCCCCAAACCTGAAACTAAGGTGACCAGTAAACGAGCCAAGTTCCTCTGGGATCATGGCAGATGCAAGTGCCCAGGATTTCAAGTTCCAATAGGGAGGTGAGAGGGGAGACGTCAGGACAGCCCCCGTGTCCTCTGGTGGGCAGAGCAGTGCTGAGTGTGGGGGCGGGGGGACAATTGTGACTGTCACACACCTAGGACTGCGGCAGAGCTGATGAGATTGGAGGCGAAGCCCTCAGATTCTACAGCCTCTTCTTTCAACAAAGCGTAAGGTGCCCACGGCGTGCCCACGAGGCCTGGGGTGCAGGGCTCTGACCTCAGGAGACGCTGGGGGTGGGATACAGACCTCCAACCATCACACACCTCTGACTAGGGCTGTGCAGACAGCAAGTGCAGGAGGCCGCGGCCCGGGAGGTCAGGGAAGGCTTCTCCGAGGACCAGTTGAGTTGGCCAGGCCGGGACACGGCTGGTGGACAAGACCCAGTCAGGTGAGCTGGCTGTGGATGGGCTCTGCTTGTCCTTCAGTTACTGTCCTATATTCAAAGTCAAAGGGGGAGCCAGTCTCACGGACCTAACTAGTCCTCCACCGGCCTCTTGGCAAGAAAGGTCAGGAGGCCTTGATGGTCAGCCCAAGGTCATCCTCAAGGTGAAACCAGAAGAAGGGCCAAACAGCGTCCTCTGCAATCTCCAGCCTGTGTCCTCTCTCAGGAGAGCACAGCAGAGCTCAAGACACAGACGATGCGTTTGATACAGGAACCATCTTCGATGCATGCTAGCTTGTCGTTAAAAGTGGGGAACGCAACATGTGCGTGCTGACATTCTTACCGGCAGCACATGTGACACTTGCCTTAACTGCGTGGTAAAAATGCCGACAGGGTTGAGAACACGACTCCCCTGGAAGACGGACAAGTGGACGGACCTGTGAATCAGCAAACAGGCATCAGGTGCCTACGACGTGTCAAGCCCTGAGCTGGATGCCAAGACTTATTAAGCCAGCGCAAAAATGGAAAGGTTAAATGTTTGCCCCGTGTACTCGGAAAAGGCAAGCGCAGTGCACTGGGCTGAACGGGGTGGGGCCGGCCAAGGAGGGGACCTTGCCGGCCCTGATGTGGCCCGACCCCCAGTGACCTCACACTCCAGCCATCAGTCCCTGCTCAGCCCACCCTGGGAGGCTGTGTCCTGGTCTAGAGCCTCTGGGGGAGGTGCCACCCTCACAATGAGGACATTTCTGTCCCGGGCCAGCAGCTGTCACCTGAGAAAGATGGAGATTACCCCACCAGGCGACAAGGCTTGTTGTACAGACACAGGCACAGCTCAGGTTCCCTCCTGAGGTAATTAACCCCGGGGAGAAATGTGGCCCATCTCCCTGGGCATCCGCCCTCCAGCCGGCCACCCACCCAGATGGGGCTGAGGCCGGAAGAGCCTGGGGGACAAATCTCCTGGGGGTGCGTGTGGGAGGACTTGAGATGGTCCCCGTGGGGACGTCCCGGGCTGCAGACGCTGGCCCCCTGCCTGGGTGCGGGCTAGAAGCAAAAGGCTGCAGAAAATGAGCTCGGCTACTGCGGGGGTGTCCTGGGCAATGGCCCCAGGTGCCAGCTGAGCCCTGAGGTCACCGCTGGCGTCCTTGCCAGCTTCCCTGGGTCCTGGTGATCCCAGGAGACATAGCAACACAGAGACACTGATCCACAGTTTTACATATACTCACTTCACATTACACCCCTCACATTGTGCTCAAAGCTGGCGGGGTTGGTAGTTTTGGAGGCTTTCCTCTCGGTCCCCAGGGCCTCAGGGACAGGGCCTCAGGGAGGGACCAGACGCTCTCGGACACATCTCAGAACTGCCCCTCTCTCTACGTCACGGCCTCTGTCTAGGCTTCAGCTTCACACCTGGTCGATGGGTGACACCAAATTCCATGCATCCCACCGCCTTTTAAGGATAAAAGAGAGACCAGAAGAGTAGAAATGGGTCAGAGGTGGAGGCTCTGTCTGTCTGTGAATCTCACACCCAGCTCGGGTGTCTGCCCGCCCAGGAATGCGAGTTCATTCTTTAAAAAGCCTGTAATTGACTTGAAAGAAACCAGCCTAACTGCTTGGTCAGGAGTGGGGGAGGCGAGTGGGGGTGGCCGCTGGTGTGCAGGGGCCTGTGTGGGAGGAAGGCCCAGGGTACGACCTCTGTCCGGGGGGCTGTCCTCAGCGCCAAGGGTAAGTTGTGCTGCTTAGAGGGCAAGGCCAGGCATCGCTGCACCGAGTCCCTCACGTAACAGACAAGGAAGCAGAGGCCCAGGTGGGGTGGCGACGTGCCCCAGGGCACACAGCTGGTGGCAGAGCCAGCTCTGGGCTGCAAGCTTCCCTAGCCAGGACACAGCCTCCCCCAGCCTCCGCCCCAGCTGTGTGCTCGGCGTCCCGGACGTCCACACGCCTCCGAGTGGAGACTCTGGGCCTCAGATCTACCTGGGCCAGGCCCGGAGCTCTGGCAGACCAGCCTTCTGGGCCCCCTGCAGAGCCCTTGCCTCTGGGGCTCTCTGTCACAGGCCGGTCACGGCCCCCGGGCAGCGCCAGGCCTGTGACTGGGGAGTGGCTCTCTCTCGACTGCAGGGCTTTGTGCCTTTCATGGGATAAGCTCCGAGGTATTCTCGGGGGACCACTGGAGAGAGCTGGTCTGGCAGCTCAGCCAGGCCTCGTTACAAGCAAGACATATTTACGGGGTATTAAAAATAGACTCCAAACAAATATGTCGTTCTCCTTCTCTCCCTGACACTTTCTTCTCATGTGTCACCTCCCGGGGTGCCCAGGTTCCCTTTGACTCCAGGGGGTCCCCAACTCCCTGGCATCAGAGACCTGCCGCCCCCCAGTCCATGCTCTTGTAGGTTCCTCCCACCTTTGTCCTCAGCTGTGAGTGCCCCTGGCAGGAAAGCTGACAAAGCAATTAACAGCCCAGGCAGCTTATGACACACTTGAGCTGAGAGGTGCTAAACCTTCCCCAATCAGTCAAGGGCCCTTGTGTATAGCTTCTTTCAATAGAGAAGGTCAGTCTCAAGTTCTGACGTTGGCCTTGGTGGGCGAGGAGCTTAACCCCAGTGCCTGCAGTGCCGAACCGGACACCTTACCCTCCTCCCACCACGGAGGCACTCGTAAACATGCGATATGCTTGCTCTGCTCAGGCCTCTGCTCAAGGATCCGATCTGGCAATACCCCCAGAGATGAGTAATTCCTGGGCAGAACCCATGACGGTGCTGTGGGGACAACCAGAGGGAGAAGGAGAAGGTCCTTTCCTCGGGGGCCTCGCGGGGCTTGTGTCCCCGCGTGGGGCACGGCACAGGGACAAGGCCCAGGCCACTCTTGGGCCAGTGTCCTTGCGTCGTGTGATGTTGGAGCGGACGCAGAGGGAGTGGGGGGAGGGCAGGAGGCAAACAGGTCAAGAAGAATTCACCAGGAAGCTTTCTGACAGAGCAAAGCCTCCAACAAGCTTGGGACAATGATTCCCGGCAGAAGCAAAACGACCTAGAGGCAGGGCAGAGGGAGCGACCTCAAACAGGCTCAGCGGCAGCCAAGGGACGTTCCCCTGGAAGGACTAGAACACAGTCCTCGGAGGTATACGGGGCTGGGACAGAAATGCTTTCAGGAGACTTCCGTCTCTCTAGGTCAGACCTGGGAGCAGGATGGTGAGGCAAGAACGGAAGGACTTCCGGTCTTGAGACTGAGTTTCCTGGTCCCCAGGTGTGTGTGTGTGAGTGTGTGTGTCCCTGGTGATGACTCACCCCTCCCTCACGCCTCTGACAAAATCTCCCACCTCCCCTCTGCTTAGGCCTCTCCAGGCTCCCGGCCTGACGGCCTGGCCTCCGCGTAGTAAAAGTGATCATTCAACCTGGACCTGGCTGAGCCAAGTGTCTAGGCCCCTCCCAGTGTCACCCCCTCTCATCAACGAGGAAACTGATGTTCAACAAGTTTCAGACGAGGCTGTAGTCATATGCCTGGGAAATGTGACTATAATTGCAAATTATAGCCACAATTTTCTGCATCATTGCAACTCCTGGGATAGAGCCCTGTGCCAGCTCTTCTAGAAGATCACAAATGTCTCCCATGTAGACCAGGAAATAATATCACTAGCCGTTCAAGCCATTTTCCCAAAGCTCTCCTCGGTTTCCGTTTATACTTAGCTCGTGGTCGTGGTCCTTCCAGCCTAAGTTCATCTTACACTGATCTCAGAAAGTCAGCCAGGCCATGAAAACTTTCTTCCTTTAAATTCTTACGCTGCCCACAGTGTCAGAGCGGCTTTTTCATCCCCGTAGTTTCTGTAGAGGATGCTGAGGGTGGCGCCCAGGAGCTCTGAGGTCACACCTTCTTCTCCCAGCCTCCTGCAGAGAGGTAACGCGTGGCCAGGTGCAGGAGGCCAGGGGAAGCCCGCCTTGTGTCATCGGCGGGACCATCGTGGGGACAGAGGGAAGCCCATCGGACAAGGTAACCCCAGAGCAGCTTCCCTCGCCCTGTCCAATCAAGGGACAAGAGACGACCAGGCTGTCCTGGAGGACGCGACCACGAGCTACCATCTCCAGGATGGACGCAAGGCTGGACCAAGAGCGGCCCTCGGTCTCCAGGTTCCCAGCTCCATGGAGCCACCATGCTGGCGCCCTGTCAACTGGTTCCTGATTGAGTTTCTCCAGGGGCACAAGCCAGTCACCAGAGAGCAAAGCCCTTTTCCGCCTTGCGTATTAATGAGACCCAGGCGCTCCTGTCAATCTCCCAGGAGCCAGCATCTAACGACCTTGGTTGACAGGTGGCCCCTGGGACGAGGTCTCTGGTGGAGCCCAGGCACTGCCGGGGGCATTTTTGAGAATTAGCTGCAGGGATGGCAGAATGCATGGCAGTTTAAAGAGAAGGAAGTGAGGGCATAAGAGAGGCACACAGTCCGTGTCCTGAGACCGCTTGTTGATGCCGGCTGAGCATCTGGAAGGAACAGTACCAAAGGTGCCCCCGGCCCGCAAACCAGAGGGGCTTGTCGCCTTCCCTCGTGACTGGCGCTGACCGCGCTTCCTGCTGGAATTCTCTTTTTCTTTTTTGTTTGTTTGTTTGTTTTGGTAGGGTCTTTCTCCCTTTCTCTCTCCTCCTCCCTCCCTTCTTTCTTTTTTGTCTGTCTTTTCTGGTTCTCCAGGAGGAAGTTCGTACGGGGGGTGGAACAGGATTGCAGTCAAGCAGACCTAGATCGCCCTTGTTGAACCAATAGGACGAACCCAAGTTTGGAGAAGCAAAGAGACGCGTCTGCCTGGACCCACTCCCAGCTCTGCCACCGTATCAGGGCTCCCTCTGTGACCTAAGTCACTTCACCTCTTGCTGGGTCAGATTCCTCTCTGCAAACTGCAGGGAGGAATCTCGCCTTACGGGACGGTCCAGCATGGCGTCTGGCACTAGGTCAGGGCGCTCAGCTATTTTCCCAGTAAAGGTCACATCCACCTGACCATGCTATCACTCACTGGATTCTGGCCACAGCTCACACTTCCCAGAATGTGGGCTTTAATCTTTAGAAGAGAAACCGAATATTCGTTTGCAGCCGTGTTTGAGAAACCAAGTGGGTGGAAATGAATTACGATGAAAACGTTTGGAGGTGCTCAAGGGGTATTTATCTGAAACCGCAGGTCCCCGTGGGCTTGGCGTGTCCACCTGTGTGGAGACCAATGCCTGGTGCATAGCCAAACAGGGCTGTCGCTCTTACTTGGCACACTCCTGCACTCAATGGGCATTTCCGGTCGCACTTCACATCTGATATTCTGGTTGGGTAGCTGCACCCCTGATTGTTGCTCCCGAACCAAGATAATACAGAGCAGTGAGTTTGGACTATTGACTGTGGCTCCCTTGGTGTCTTCAAACGTCCATCTCCGTGCAGAGCTGGGGGAGTGTGTCGCTTTGGTGTCTGTGTAACGGTTTGGTAACAATGGTGTTTGGGCTGATGTGAGCAAGGGGCCGTCCGTTCACCCTACATCCTGAGCTCCGCCTTCAGCCCTTGAGTGCGAGGCTAGGACGAACCACCCTCCTGACAGCTTGCTCCCAAGTGGGCTGCGTGAGCCCCGCTCCGAGCCTCGTTGTCCCTCTTTGGAGCCTCTCTGTTCCCCATCTTCCAGCCTTATTATACAGAGACGCGTGGCCACCTTCTTTCCTGTATCTTTGTCATTGCATTTAGGGAGCAGCCTCCAAACGAGCCCGCTTAACATCAAGCACGGGTGGTGGGGTTGTCTCCCCCCGGCTAGGGAGACTGCTTGCAGATTCTGTGGGGGAAGGAGGGGAGCGTGCCTTTAAACAATGAGCGCCAAGCACTATCCTCAACTCAGTGAACAAAACAGAATCGCCGTCTCAGGGGGCTTACACTTCAAATTGGGTAGAGAGCCAGTAAACAAATACATGGTGGATCAATTCAGTATCAGTGAGTGCTAGCTGCTTTGCTTTGGATAATCACAGGAGGTCCCAAGCAAGTGACAAGGAGTCAGCCAGGCAGAGACACCTGCAATCCACCTCCCTACAACCCAGCGGAAACAGTAAATGAGTTAATTAAACAACACAGTGATACCAAGGGCCCAGCTGAGTCACCCACTGTGGACGCTTAATGCACACACGTCTCCATCTCTACCTGTCACGACAGATGGCTGTCAGGGCTGTCACAGCATGGCAGACACCATTTACTGGGGGCCTGACGGTGGAGATGATGTCTCCCCGACCAGGCGGGAGCTCTCTGAGGACAGGGGCTGTGCCCCTCTTACTGTCGGGAGGGCAGGGGCCATTCCTCATTGGCGGAGGAGCCCCCAGAGGGCAGGGATGGTCCCCTCTCCAGTCCCCCGGGCAGGGTCCTGTCCTTGTGTTTCTTATGCAGGAGACTGACAGCCACCTTTCCTCCTCATGGCTGGGCCTCCCAAGGACGTGAAGGGCCCAAAAGGCCCAGCCTCGCTCCCTGCCCGGCCTCGGCCTGGGCCCCCCTGTGGCGCCCTCCTGTGGCACCGTGGCCCAGGGCCAGGCCACTGGGCAGGGATGGGGTTTCAGTCTGATCTTTACCACCAGCTGCGTGTAGCTAGGCTTCTGGGAATTTCAGAAGTTGGTGCCAAAGGGAGGACAGCTGAACCCAAGGAAGGCACCATACTGCCCTCGGGACCCGAGGCAGGGGATGATGTCACAGGCTGTCACCCCCAGGGCCCTGGTCTCTGATGGCCAGCGGGAGCGAGGGGTCCCAGGGGCAAGCTGTGTCCCCATCTGGGCCTCAGTTTCCACCTCAGGTGACGAAGGCAGCGACTCATTCCTTACTTCCCAAAGGCAATGCCTACCAGGAGGCGTACTAGGTGATGCCACCGGGAAAGGCAGTGTGAGAGGGTCAACACTGGCTGAAATCTGGGTACTGGGCAAGAACACTGGAGGACACCCTGCGTTGGCTCAACTGGTAGCCTGGAAATTTCCAGAAGGGGCTGAACTGAGGGCTGGGGCCCCCCTCTGGCCCCTCCCTTCTCAGGAGCAACACCACGTCTGACCCAGGGCCCGTCACACGGTTGAAGATGCCCACCTCTGTGCCAGGCACAGAATGCTGTTGGGTATTCCGTGTGATAGAAGACAAAGGGCAGAGGCTAGAAGGCGGGGGAAAGCCATTTGGCTCATCTCCGTTCCTGAGACTCCTGAAGTTTTCATCTTATTACAAGGAGATGTATGCATGTGCCCAGTGTGGCACAGGGCAGAGCAGCCGGTGTGGTCTGCTGGCCATCTCCAGGCTTCAGGGAGGAACTGCCCACTCCCTGGGGGCCAACGGGGGCACGTGACATGCAGAGAAGGTGCCCCTCCCTGTCTTGGGACCACGCGGCATAGGGTTCAGGACGTCCCCGGGAGCCCAGGGCCCCCACTGTAAGAAAGAACAGCGTGGGGTGGGGGCTGAGCCCTGCCTCTCACGTCCACCCTCCACGGCTCCCTTTCTGCCGTGCACCAGAGCGAGTTTTGAAAACACAATTTGGATCCTGTCACCACCCTCAGCTTAAACAAACCTCCATAACCCTTAGGATGAGCTCAAAGTTCTCCAGGGTCTTCCAAAGCTTACCTGAGCCAACTCACCTGGCACTGCTCTTCCCGGCCCCCGCAGCTCCCCGCCTTCTGTCGGCCCCTCCCCCTCGGGGAGCAGGAGTGGCAGTTTGTCACTGGCCATGTGATGTCTGTTGGGGGCTGTGGCGGGCTCGCCTCTGTATTCCGAGGCCCACGCAGAGAAGGTGCTCAGAGGTATTTGCTGAATAGATGAAACACCTGCCTCCGACACTCAGAAACACACAGGGGGACAGCCGAGACCACGTGTGCGTGTGAGCACACACACGCCCCTGAGTGTGAGGTCACACACGTCCCCTCCAAGGGCGCATGCCAGGTCGGCTCTGAGCTAATGAGGGCGCGTGACTCTCCTGAACCCCACTTTCCTTCTCCTTCACTTGACCCTTGCTCAATCCCGGCTTATTGGTAGCAGCAAACCATCACTAGCTCTCTGACCTTAAGGACAGAACAGGTGGCTCTTCCATAGCAGACCAGGTGACCTTATCACCTCATCTCTTTCTGGGCCTCACCTGCCCTCCACTCTCATAAGCAGACCTGTTACGAGTCATCCTCTCCCCAGCACTTTCCTTCCACTCACCCAACCGTCTGCCCAACTGACCAGGTCACCCCTTCCATCCCGAGAAAGCTCACCTCCTCCCAGAAGGCCTCCTTGGCTGCATGACTCCCAGGGTCTCTCTCGGGGCGAAGCCTGTGGGGTCGTGCCCTCTTATCTGTCTGGGTCTGTGACTAGCTCCCGAAATTTGTTGCCTGTGTGGGGCCACTTTGGGTTGTGATTCCCATGAGGGCGGTGGCTTTATATATCTATGTGACTTATGGGTTCCCCAGGGAGCAGCTTAGCTGAAAAGCTCGGGCTTCGGAGGATGAGAACATCCCCGCTAAGAGGGGTCATGAGGCAGCAGGGAACAAAGGTGGCTAAGCCAGCCTGGTTCACAGCTTAAAGCTTTGCAGGACCCGGCGTTGGAGGAGCCCGTGTCCCCGGGCCCTTCCATCTCTGATCCCTGGGAGGCAGGGCATTAACCGTGGGGGACCCTGCTCTGCCAAGCCAGGCGGGAGGGGGGGGGGAAGGCGGGGCGAGTGGGAGGGGCAGACAGAGCCAAGGAGGCTGCAGTGACCTACATCTGTCCCAGCACTGCCTGTCCACCGGCAGTCCCTCCAGGGCCCCCGGCAGCGCACAGCAGCTGGAAGCAGGGAGGAGGGGGCAGACGGGAGGCTGGAGGCCAGCTGTGCGCCCAGGTAAGTGGGCACCGCACACCTGGCTGCTCACCCGGGGCGGGGGCACGGCACAGAAGGGACCGCTTTCTAGCTTTTCCACTCAAGCAGGAGCAGGCGGAGGACATGAGATTAGTGAGGACATCCCGTGGCGGCCGGTCACGCCCTGGGGTGCAGGGTCACCCCTCTGGACAGGGCAGACGGTTTCAGTGACCCCGTCTGGGTGCGTCTGTCCTGGCCCTGGGTTTCCTGGCACCGTTTGGCTTAGAGTGTGGCCAACACGATGGCCAGGCTACAGGTCCGACTAGCTGTCCAGAGTCAGGGCCTCGGGGCTGCACAGGGCGCGTCTGATTCACACAGGCGAGAGAAATCCCATGTGCCTCTCTGGGCCTCAATTCCTCCCAGCTGGGGAGCTGGGGGCAGGGGTCCTGGAGGGAGAGCAGGGGCCAGGGCAGAAGTGCTGTTGGGCTGGGGTGAGGGCACAGCTGCTGTTTGGCACGGAGCAGAATCGGGGCTCTTCTCAGAAAGGGAAAAGCAGCGTGGAAAGGGGACTGATTCCTCCCCCCACCCCCACTGAGGCCAAGTCCTGCCCGTCCCCGGCCAAGCAGGCCGCTCGTCCATTCGTCATTGACCTTGCACCCAATCTGGCTTCTTCCTGAAGAGAATGGGGGTCCAGAGGGTGAGACGGCTTAACGTTGGGCCCCCAAGTCCCCATGGGGCTTCTGCGTCTCTCTCCCTTCTCAGCTGGGACCTGTAGGCAGGGAGCAGGGGAGAGGACGGTGTGAGCGTTACCTTCCAAGTGTGACAAACAGCCACGTAAGGGACTGAGCTGGTGGTGATGGGGACAGGTGATGAAGATGACAATGAAGAGAGCAGTGGTGAACTTCTCCCGGGTGGGGTGGTGGACAGCTGCCAGGCGGCTGTCCTGGAACGTGGGTGGGACAGGCGCCCCTCTGCCAGCGTGGCGGCTGCCCTCCCGCCGGCCTCCCTCGTGACTCCGTGCAGCACGGCGGCTGTGGCCCGTGGCCCTGTGACCGCCCCAGAACGCCGCTGGTGTGCCATGGCATTCCGGCGCCCGGGGGGCAGTGGCTGGGCTGTGGAAGGGACGCTGTGGGCCAGAAATGCCAGTGGGTGGGCACTTGTGAAACGGAAGGTGTCCTGAGTGGAGGAATGTGCTCGGTCACGTGTGGGTTCCCTCTGAGAACAGGGCTCATTGGGCAGGAAAGCGGAGTCTCCGAAGTGGAACGCCACGGCCAGGGGCCAATCGCACAGGAGGTGGGGCTGCTGGAGGATTCTGTCAAGACATCCCCTCCCCACGACGCACGACGCCCGGGGGGCCCAGAGCCAGGCCCCTCCCTCTCCGGGGGGCACGCCCTGTGGTTAGAAGCCGCTGGGAGGCTCTTGTCCACCTGACATCATAACTCACTGGCCTCAGAGGGGGGCAGATGGATTTATGAGGATCCCACCGTCCAGGGCGGACAGGAGCTCACCAGCAGCCAAGTGGGGGAACTCTCCCCCGCAGACCCGGCAATCCGAAGGGTCCGGACTGGCTGAGGGTGGGAAGGAGAGGGTTGCTGGGTCCTGCTGGAAAACCTCAGAGTTCGTCTCCGGGAAACTCACGTCCAAAGTCAAAGGGGCCAGGCTGCTAGAGCTGGAAGAGCCCAGGACGCCGGGAGCTTGACCTCCTGAGGCTGGGGAGTCTACGTCTCACCCTCGCTCCTGGGGTCCCACCAGGAGGCCAGGCCACCAACATAGTTTGTAGCCTCAGCCCCACGGTCTCCTTTGCCTGGAGAGGGACAACTGGGCAGTCTCCTACCCTTCCCTACGTCTGCGTGATTGGTTTTGCTGGACCCCGGGGTTAGACAAGCTCTGGGGGGCAGCAGCTCCAGCCGGCTCCCACCCCAGATACTGGCCGACACACTAATGCTGCGGGACGGATGGGGTTAGACCCGCTGACCTCCTAGAAGCAGTTCTGTCCTCTGTTCTCAGGAGACCAATCGCCACTCCCAGGAGCCACAGAGGAGCCAGACCATGGCCGGTGAGAGCGCTACCCCGCCCGAGCCCCTCACTGCGCCCCTCACTGGGTGGAGGGGGTGCTCAGAGACCTTCAGGGCCTCACCTGTCTGCTTTCTCCAGGGTCAGCTTTGGGTTTTGAGGGTGCAGAGCTCCCTGTGGGGCCCTACTTCCTGCGGAGAACCCCTTTCCCACTCTCTCTTGTCTAGCTTTTCCCCAGAAACACTCCCAGGGTCTCCCCAAGGTGACCCCCGCCCACTTCCCGGGGGCTCCATTCACGCTGCTGGAGGACCAACCCAGCCACCACTAGGAAATTCAGAAGCACCGCTCACAGGCCCTTGCTCCCGGGGTCAGTGGGTCAGCGCTCCACTGTGTTGAGGGCCCCCCATGAGGAAGGGGCCGGGCCCATGTGCATTTCCTCCCCAGGGAAGCTGAAAAAATCCTCTCTGCACGGGGTGACCATCCGGCAGCTGGTGGATGAGATCCCTGAAGGGTGCAGCACGCCAGACTTTGAGCAAAAGCCGGTCACCTTAGCACTGCAGGAAGGTGAGGCTGGGGGAGGGGGGCTGCTGACAGAGGCACGACGGCTCCCCCACCTCCAGCATGCACAGCAGGGGGTTTGGGGTGGGCGGCTGGAGTCCTTCCTGACCTGCCCTGACGTCCCAAGCCCATCACCACTCACAGCACATCTCCCTATATTGGGGGGGAGGGTGTCTGCCTGTCTGCCTGGATCCCCAGAAGAGGAAAGGGACCCGAGGAGCAGGGTGGGTCATGTGGTGTACGAATGCAAGACATCCATGAGCAAGGACCGGCGATGGATCGGGGAGCAGGGAGAGACTGTGCCTTTCCTCAGCGCCCTCCCCGCCTTCTGCCTCCAAGCAGCTCCTGCCGGGGGCGATGTTCAAACTGAGTGAACTTGGGCCCCTCCAGCCCTTGCCACCAGACCCCCAGCGGCTCACAGGCTGGGCTCTGAACCCTGTGGTAGAAAGTCACGCGAGAAAAGTACCCAGGGGCGTGGCGGGGACACAGGCTGCTGGGTCCCTGCAGGGAATTCCAGTTTGCAACCTTCTGGTGCAAGAAAACCATGGCACGTTGTTTTTCTAAATCTGACTCCAAGTCCTCCCTGGACAAAGTCGTGAGAAACTGTCTCTCCTCATGGAGAAGGACCCTTGGGTGTTGGCACTGTTCTCTGCTGACACATTCCAGGGAGGAGCGGAGGAGTCCTTGAGGGGAGTGGCTCCCAGGACTCTGCAAGCCTGGAGCTCGGGGTCTTTCTGAGGCTGGAGCTCCTTTAGGTGCCAAAGAGCCGTTCCTTTCCCAGGTTGTCACGCCCGCCCGGAGAGTGACGCAGAACCCACAAAAAACTCACCCCCTTCCCAGCCTTGGGAGAGCCTGTCAGACCCTTTATCACACCCGCTTCCAAGACACGCCCCTCCCTCCTAAGCCCCGCTTTCTCCATGGACAATCCAGGGGAACCCTTCCCCTAACACCCCAGCTCCTGCCAAACGAACCCAGGCAGGGACAGCCTCTGGGCGCCTGGAAACTGCTGCTCTCCGTCTGGCGTCATAAGAGTCCCCGAGTCTGGGGACCGCAGCCTGGCACCCTTCCTGAATGGGCGGCCAAGATACCTGGAGCACGGAGCATAACGTAAATTGACGGCTCTATGCTGTCCCCCGCCTCCCGCAGCTTGTTAACCTCCCCCGCCCCCCCTCTTCCTGCCACAGGAAAAAATGCCATCTTCCGGGCTGTGGTCTGCGGGGAGCCCAGGCCCGAGGTGTACTGGCAGAGCAGCAAAGGCGAGCTCAGCAACTGCAGCAAGTACCAGATCTCCTCGGCCCCGGGCAGCAAGGAGCACGTGCTGCAGGTGAGGACGCGCGCCTCCTGCTGGGATGTCCCCGTCTCTGCCTGTCCCACGCTGGAGTGCCCCTGACACTACCTGTCCCGTGAAGGGCTGGTCAGCGGCCTCTGGTCCCCAGAGGAGTAAGAGGGGTCAAAGACTCAGCTCCACTCTGTGGCTCCAGGCGGCCTGAGCCAGGTGTGTAGACCTGGCAGGCTGGCCGGCACCTCCATGGAAGTCAGTCACTGTGAGAAATATTCGTAGCTACCAGCCATGGAAACCTTACTATGTGCTGGGCTCACCATCTGGCACAGGTGATGCCATTTGACCCCAACCACTCACTGCGTTGTGAATGAATTAGCCTCACCTTCTAAGTAAAGACACTGAGGTTCAGAGAGGTTAGGGAAACCGCCCAAAGCCCCACAGCCCGAAATCCCTGACCGAGACCGTAGGCACTCAGCCCAGACCCCGCTCACCCTGAGCCGCGCGCTCCTTGTGCCTCTGACGGCAGAGCTGGTGTTGCCGTCCGGTGGGGTCTGGGTCTCGTTTGCGCTCTGTCTTTCCCGAGGGGGACTGCGAGCTCCCTGAGGACAAGGACATGTCCTTGTCCCCTAGCACATAGCCATGTGTAGTGACAGAGCAGGGACGTGCTAGCCCGTCCCCTGCCCCTGGCCTCTCCGCAGATCAACAAGCTGACGGGTGATGACATGGACCAGTACCGGTGCTGGGCAGTGAACGCGTACGGAGAGGCCACGTGCTCGGCCAGACTCACAGTCATCGAAGGTGGGCGTGTCCCCCTGCCCCCCATCAGTGCTCAGGGCGTTGGGGAGCCCTAGAGGAGTCAGGGGCCTCGCACGGTGTGGGGAGGCCGGGGCGGGGGGCGCCTAGAGGATGTAGGCGAGAGGCTGCAGGGCCAGACAAACAGCTGCTGGACGTGTTGGGCAACACGCGGCTTAAACCATGGCAGCTCTCGGGCAAGCGAGAGAGCAGCTGGCCCTTCAGCTGTGTTTCGGCTGTGGTTGCCCATGGCCACTTCACGCGAGTGTGCCGCCTCCCTGGCCCCTGGAGGCTTGTGAGTCACCCCTCCTCCTCCCCGGCATGAGATGATGGGCAGGTGGTCGCACTTGGGCGGTGCCAAGGCTCGGGGGCATTAATGCTTAGGGTGGGCAGACCCTCTGCCCGGCCATCCTTGCAGCTGGGCCTCGCCACACCTTGGAGTGGGGGGTCGGGGCCCCGGTGCTGTCCTTCTCAGGGAGGCCACCTGTGTGTCTGGCTTCTCCCCGTGCCTGTCCATGTTAACTCTTCCATCTTCTCCCCAATGGTCCAGTTGGCTTTCGGAAGAATAGGAAGCGGCAAAAGGAACCCCAGGAGGGTAGGTGGCACGGTCGTCAGAGGCCTCCGTGGGGCCTTTGGGGGATGGGCTGCTCCTTGCCTGCTGCTCTCGACTTGGCCCAGCCTGTCCCCAAGGACACCTCACGGGTCCTCACCAGTCCACAGGAGACCCCTTTCCAAAGCTCAGCTGTTGCCCTGGACCACACCCCACTTCTGTCCCCTTTCCCCCACCCCCCACTTCCTATGGGAAAGCCCTGCCTTGGCTCCTGGGGACCCCACCCTGGGATTGGGACCTCATTCCTGTTCCTTTTCCAGACCTCAGGCAGCAGCTGGCAGAGTTCCGGAAGATGCTGAAAAAGAGGTGGGTCTGGGCCTGTCGAGGGGGTTGGAGGCCCCCGTGGTGCCCCTCCTGGTTGCTTCTGCCGAGCTGGGCTCAGCTCTGACCTCCACCCGGAGCACAGGCGGGTTGCTGGGCGGAGGCAGCCTCCGGGCGGGCGGGAAGAAGGAATTCTGGGTGTCCCGCTTCTAAGCCCCATATCCTTGCGTTGTCACCTCTCCTCTCTGGAGCCTGACTGGCTCCTTGGTGAAATGGGGCGCTCCACCAGAACAGCGATTTCAAAAAATGTTAAAGCAACAGAACAATTGCCCTAAAAGACATCTTGCCCGAAATACACAATACAGGTGGTTGGGAGCAGACTTTCTCCCGGGAAGCTGACGCTGTGGGGTGAGGGCCACCCCTGTTCATCTCCGGGTCCTGCAGACCCAACGGGGCTCAGCCCCACATCCCAGCCTCTCTGTCCCTTTCTTCTCCGAAGAGGAACGCTCCCCACGTCCCCTCGGGGTGCCTGCTCCTGGGGCTCGCTGGCCCCTGACCTGCCGGCCTGCTCCCCAGGGCGCGGCCCCCCGCCCCCGAGAAGGTGGTGGACCGCGAGCAGGTGTGGCAGCTGCTGATGACCGCGGACCGGAGGGACTACGAGCGACTGTGCCTGAAGTACGGCATCATGGACTTCCGCGGCATGCTGCGGAAGCTGCAGGAGATGCGCCAGGAGAGGGAGGACAAGATGGCTCAGGTACCGGCGCCGCCCGCTCGCCTACACGCCCGCCCTGGGCTTGCGGGAGACCGAGCCCCCAGCGCGTGTGGCCGAGGCCCCAGGCTGCCCAGGCGACGTCCGGGCTGTGCACGCTGGTTCTGATCCCAAATCCGGGGCCTGGGGAAAGCTCGGGCCGCGCAGCTTGGTTTTCTCCTGTGTCACCGTGGGTGTGACAGTCCCGCCTGCCCCGTAGGGTTACGGAGAGGGCGGTGAGGAGATGCACCTGGGGCCCTGAGCTGAGCAGGGGCCCCCGGGAAGGGCCTCCTGGCGGCTGTCATCGTCATCATTGTCACTGTCGCCATCATCATCACACCATCATCACTGCTGTCACCACTGTCATCATCACAGACCTTGGGGACCTATCTAATTTCCAAAGGCCTCAGGGAAAGGAATGTCACAGTGCCCACTGGCATTTTCATCCCAGCATCTTGTAAACTGCAGGGAGTTCTTGTGTGGAACCTAACTAGAATCTAAGTCTAATTTTTCTTCTGGAAATTCAAAACACTTATTTTCATCATCTTGAAAACAGTATTTTATCAAACCTCCTCATCTGCTTTAGCAACAGCGCTTTGCACACAGTAGGTGCTCACTCATTTTGATTGGGCGGCATAAACGATGAGCAGAAAAGTCCTACTGTGTTCTCAGAGCCCCTGGACACCTGGGGTTCTTTCTGGCTCTCTGTCCCGACCGGATGTCCAACTTGAGGATTCCCTTCCTCGAGGGGCTTCAGTCTCCCACCTGTGAAATGCATTTCCGACTGGGATATTGGGGGGCTGGATCTGAGGGGTTGGAGTGCCCTGAAGAGACACTTCAGAGAGCTCCCCTGGTGGGTTTGTCTTCCCTAGTACCTCAACTCTGTATCCAACTGGAAACACATCAAAATCACCAAGGAGGGGATTGCAACGTTTGAGCTGGAGCTGGACCTCAAAGATTCCGAAAGCAAGATTTACCTGTACAAGGTGAGGCTGGAGGGGCCACTGGCTTGGCTGGTCCTCGGGGCAGGAATTGCGGGGGGCCCTGCTGTGCCCCTCAGCCCCATCCTAACACACACTCTATTATTTACTTGCCATGCGCATTGTTTGTCTGTCTCCCCCATAGCATCTGAGCTCCCTGGGCCAGGAATCCTTGCTTTTTATCCCCTGATGTGTCCCAGTACCTAAAACACCCCCAGCAGATAGCAGCTCTGTGGGGTTCGGCTGAGGTGGGCGTGTGTGTGGACGCTTGGGCTCCGCAGAGCCTGGAGGACACCTGAGGGTCCTCTGTTGTTGTCATGAGCGGACGCCCAGCGCCTGGCACTGCCCCCAGTTGCCACTAACCTCACAGGGCTGCGTGGGTGGTAGCTCTGCCCAGTGCCAGCTGCACTCTGGGCAGCGTCAGGGGCCTCCCGTACAACACTGGCAGGTAATTTACTCCAGGGTCCGACTCGTGGACATTTCCAGAGTGTTTGCTCCCCTCCAGGCTTGCTCTCCACCCCAGCCCTCCCCTTTGCCATTCAGGAATGTGTCCTGCGGTCTCCGGGTCAGTGGCAGACAACTGCTGAATGCAGCCGGAGTGGGACTGTGGCGGAAGGTGCTGGGGACCCGCTGAGCCCCTGAGCCCCCTCCCTCTTTTCTGGCCTCAGGATGGCGAGATGGTCCGCTACGGCTTCGACAGCCAGAGCAAGCGCCACGTGCGACGGCTAGGGAGGCATTACCAATTCCAGATCCAGGACCTGTGGCCCGAGGACGCTGGCATCTACCAGGTCAAGGTGGAGGACGCTGAAGTCTTCTCCACAGAACTGGATGCCAGTGGTGAGTGGGCTTCCCCAAGCGCGTCTGAGTGGGTGGGCCTCTGGGAGGGGGGCCACGTCGGTGCCGCGGCTGGGGGAGCGTGGATGTGACAGAGACCGTGGGGAGAGGGGCGCGCACCCAGAGGCTCACATGGCAATGATCCCTGTTCCGAAAGTCTCGCTCCATGCGCTGCTCTCCTGGTGCCGAGCTGGGCTCTCCTGGGTTTCGGCAGGACACATGATGCCCCGGCTCACAGGCCTTCTGCAGCGTGTAGTCAGCTCCCCATCAGGTCCAAACTGAGCTCACAGCCCCCAGAAGCCTGCTGCTTTCTCATCTGCCACCCCTTCTGCCGTCCTCCCAGCCCTCCTTAGCAATTCTCCACTGCACACTCGTGCCCTACCCAGCCCTCTGCCTCCCACCCGGGAACTGTCCTGTCCCCACGAGTAGAGTAGCTGCACACACACCACCCGAGGGGCTTCCCGGAAGGAGGGGAGGCAGAGGTACCGTAGACCACGTGGCTGAGCGGGGTTGAGGGAGAAGGAAGGGGGAGACCCCCAGCAGGCCCCACATGCCTGGGTGGGGGTGCTGGCCGGGCCACCTCTGAGCTGAGAAGACTGGGTCACATCATTTAACTCTTGAAGCTTCCATTTCCTTACCTATGAAAAGGACATAGTCAAACCTGCCTCGGAGGCGGCCGTGAAGCTCAGTAAGGTGACATGTGTAAAACCGTGGGACTTGGCACGGTGGTGCCCTTCACGTACCTGCTTTGCCCCCAGGCATAACTTTTGGATTTAGAATTACAGAATTCTAGAGCTAAAAATAGTCTTCCTGTTCATATCCTAATTATAACCCCTCGTTTTCTGTGGGGTAAGAGGTGACCCATCCAAGGTGACGCAGGGGGTTTGTGGCTGAGCTGTGTGAGCCGGGGTTTCTGAACTCCAGCCCCGCAGCGTCAGCTCACACTGTCCCACGGCCAGGCTGACGCCCGTTCCTTCCTCCCCCGCAGCCATCCCGCCCAGAGTGGTCGTGCCGCTGGCCGAGGTCCACTGTGACGCTCAGGGTGACGCCGTCTTTGAGTGCGTTCTCTCCAGACCCTGCCCCAGCGCTGCCTGGAGTTTCCAGCGCCGCCCACTCCAGCCCAGTGACAAATATGAAGTGTCCGTGTCCCCCGACGGGCTGACCCACCAGCTGGTGGTCAGGGGAGCCCGTCTATCAGACATGGGCCCCTATTCCCTGAGCACCGGGCTCTACGCCTCCAGCGCCTGGCTGGTGGTTGAAGGTAAGTGGGTCACACCTGTCCCTCCCTGTCCCCACTGAGGCCACACCTCAGGCCAAGGAGGGCGTGAGGAAGGCCAGGGCAGGGGGTCCCTTTGGTCAGTCACTTGCTTGGGATGGAGATCTCACCCTCAGAGGATGAAGGGCTCCTTCGGTCTGTCCTGACCCACTGCGTGCGGGGTCTTCCCAGCCAGCGTGGTCCCGCCCAGGGGCGTCTGCTCCACTGGGCTTCCGGGATTTCTCTGGAGCACAGATCCAAGCTGGCCCTGGGGTCTGGCGCAGGGCTGGGGACAGTGGCCCAGGCTCCATGGGTGAGAAGCCCCTGGGTCGAGCCAAAGAGCACCCTTAACCACTGCACCCCTGGCTTTTGGGTTCAAAGTGCTCCCAGAAAACTGTAAGGCAGACCGCAGGGCATGTAGGTCTTTTAAAAACCACGTCGTTGCTCGTGGCAGTTTGATAAGCAGGTGACGTGGGGCCCCTGTATTTTCTCAGGACACACACAGCGGGGTGGGGGGTGGGGGCGGGGCTGAGGGCACAGGACTGGGGAGTGCCCAGCGATGGGGTTTATCTGTCACCGAGCTGGCACATCCTGGCTTCCTTCTCAGGTGGTCAGCTCAGGTGTCTCTATGGGGGAAACTGAGGGTCAGGTGAAGCAGTGGCCGTTGGACAAGTGACAGCTGGCCTGATGCAGTGGGTCTTTTCTCTGTCTCTCTATGGGCACGTTGACCTCTCACCAAAGATGGGGACAAAGGCCTTCTGACCACCAGTGCTGACCTCCAAGTTCAGCTGCAAGGAGCCCAGACCTCAGAAGCAGGAGAATTCGGGAGCGCCAGCAGCGAGGGGGGGAGGCTTAGAGGGCAGGGCCCCGCAGGGAGCTCCCACGAAGGGGCTGGGGGGGCTCCCGGGCTGCAGCTCACAGCTGGCCCAGACACAGGCGGCCTTGGTGGGCATGGCTACGCCGCGATGGGGGACGAAGGCGCCGCTGACTCAGCCTGGGGCCCTGGGCAGGCGAGACAGGGCTTTCTGGACGCAGAGCGGGGCAGAGCTACTCCTCCCGGGGAATACCAGCTCCAGGGCGAGGGAGGCTGGGACAGGAGCCTCCTGGGGAGGCCCCTTCCACAGGGAGAGGGACCGGGGTCAGGGCTGGGCCTGATGGAAGGTCACGGTGGCAGGGACAGTGACGGGGACAGGCCTGGTGGGACGGCAGGGTCCCAGCACCCTTGGGCTGGAGGACGCGGGAGAAGTGAGGAAGGACAGGGACAACTCTGGGGGTCCCAGTCTGGTCCTATGGGGTCTTGGTCCGAAGGGGAAGCCATGGAGGTTTTGCAGGGGGAGAGCCTCGGTGAGGTGGGGAGAGGGGAAGGTCTGAGCAGGGAACGGGAGAGGGGCGCAGCCGGGGCCGTGTGGGGTCCGGGCACCGGCCTGGGGGAGGCTGGAGCCGGCAGTGCCGCCGGGGGTCCTGGCGCCCTGGGGGCTCCTGGAGGAAGAGGGTCTGGCTCCAAGGCAGGCGGGGGCCCTGAGACTTGGGACTCTCGGGGAGGTGACAGTGATGACCATGGGGAAACACGGGGCTACGGGGGGTCAGGGCAGTTTCCAGGACAGACATCTGCGGGCAAGGCCCCCCAGGAACCTCCATCAGCTGGTGGCAGAACTGAGGGCTCCTGGCCGGAGGCAGATGGTCACGGCCCAGGGGAGCTTGTGGGTGGGGGAAGGGGCTACAAAGCCAGCCCTGGGGGACCAGGAGGTCCTGAGGGCTGGGAAAGGGGTTCTCAGGGGTCCCAGGGAAAGTGGGGCCAGCAGACAGGGGTCGCCTTGGGTGAGGCAGGGGACGGCTATGGAAGCCCCGAGGGTTCCCAAAGCTGGACAGCAGGTCACAGGGGGGCAGGGGAGGCTGGCAGGAGAGGGGCTCAGAGCTCAGGTCCTTGGGGTGATACAAGGTCCAGCCTCAGCCAAACCGGGACCCCACACGGGCCTGGGATGCTGGGGTCTGGTGGAGGGGAAGGGGGTGTGAGTGGTGCCCAAGTGGCT